ACAACAAACATAAACCGTTGAACTGATTGAAGGTGGGTAAGTAGTTTATAATCACAGTAATTTGCTTCAGCACTGTAGAAATCAGAAGCGACTAGAAATTATGTTATGGTTGAGTCGCATATTTGTGCAATGCATTGCGTGTCATATTATTAAATTGCCAAACTAACTACAAGAATTCTACATCAGTTAAGAACAGAAAATACATGAGTTAAGAAGTGTTCATGTCAACCTCAGAGGGGTTACCTCAAAGAGGGGTATTTTGTTGAGGTAAAGTTTCACACGATTTCATTTTGGTGGAACCAATTAACTTGTGATGTATGGAATGTAGTCTGTTATTGATAAAGCAGTTCATTGGTTTTATTTGCATCTAATTGGTTTTATTGGTTTTATTAAACATCCATCAGAAGTGAATTGTATCCGACGAAATTGGATTGTGTGAACATAGCTTTAAAGTTCGAGCGTTGCAGCTTACAATATATTTAATTTAATGCTGAGTTCTTAAAGCACAAGTAGTCGCAGACTGTAGTAAAATACAAAAGAACTGCTCTGACCGTTTTTGACGTGCAAAGAAAAACGGTCCTTAAAGACCCAAGCCTTGCTAGAAACGAATGTAAAAAGCGAGCCCTGTAGTCAGGGACGAAAATCTATTCGTCGTGTGTCTGAAAATCTGATTTCGTTCTAACTGAGCCAAATGAACGTGTTTGTTTAGATTTTTTCTCTGGACGAATAAAAATGCTGAAATACGACTGACAATTTTAGTGAGAATATTGCCGTCTTCTCATGCATTTGTACAGAGCCGTCGTGAGAAGTTTAAATAGCGTGTTGATTCATAAATCTATGACTTTGTTTATAATATTATACAGTTAAGTAAATCGCAGATCACTGATCAAAGAAATCAGTCAGGCATAGGACGAATGAAAATACACCCTCTAATTCGAATTTATTTTCAATTTAAAACTGTCTATAATTGTATTGCACTATTTATTTTTTCCCTCGCAGTGGTGCTTCTTTGCTAAACTAAGCAACTAATCTATGGTACTTGTGCTATAAAGCCTCTATATCCAAGCGAATAGTAAAATTTTGCTGAAAGTCGAACAACGACTAATCCCAACGAAACTCAATAGGTTTGACCACTGCTCATGTTGTTCACCTTTGGGACAATAGAACAATGAATTTCTTAACCGCTCAAGGCCCCTCGAAATGAAATTGTCTCATTTTTACAATCTCAACGTTTGTAATAGAAATTTCAATGGAGAACAAAGCAAGTGGAAGTACAAGTGTCCGCGAATGTGGTTCGAAACATCTTCGAGACGATGGAATAACTTCTCAGAGTCCAATGCGGTCTCCATCATTAGCAATTGTGAAGTTTTTGGTTGAATATTGTGGTGCTGACTTAAGTTGTAAAGATGAGTCGGGACAAAACTGCTTTACATCATGCTGTTGATGTTGGTGAAACGGACATTGTCAAATATTTTGTTGAACAATGTGGCGTTGACGTAAATGACAAGGATAAAAAAGGGTGGACAGCCCTGAGCTACGCTGTTACTAAATATACGCCAGAAATTGTGACAGATCTTGTTGAACATGGCGCTGATGTAAATGACAAGGATAAAAAAGGGTGGACAGTTCTGCACCATGCTGTCACTAAAGGTACGCCAGAAATTGTAAAATATCTTGTTGAACATGGCGCTGATGTAAATGCGGATAATAACGGGTGGACAGTTCTGCACCGTGCTGTCACTAAAGATACACCAGAAATTGTAAAATATCTTGTTGAACATGGCGCTGATGTAAATAGCAAGAATATTTACCGGAGTACAGTGTTGCACTGTGCTGTTAGTAAAGGTACGGTAGAAATTGTAAAATATCTTGTTGAACATGGCGCTGATGTAAATGGCAAGGATACTAGCGAGCGTACAGTATTGCGCTATGCTGTTAATAGATTAGAGATTGTCGAGTATTTAGTTGAAAAGGGTGCTGACGTGACTCTTCACACTCACAATCTTGGCATTAACACCCTCAAGATGGCTGTTGTGAGAAATTCAGTTACTTTGATCAAACGTCTGTTGGAAAAGAGGTGGCCGAGGGCTGCCACATAATATTTTCTTAATTTTTATGTACTTAAAATTAAAAATAAAAACAATGTTAAATTTGAAATTGAATGCAAAGTCAATCAGAGTTTTAAATACATTACAAATTGCGTAGAGTTAAAACGCAAAACAAAAACAGATTGAAAATAAAGTACAACTTAAATTGAAAATAAAAAGCAATGTACAATGAAAACTCAAACAGAAGTAAAAGTAAATATCTCTGTGGCCGAGCGCTGCCAATACCATAATACCATGCGCGCACGAGTGATGGCTCCAGTACTGAACTATATAGTTCAGTGGGTTCCAGCGTATGGTTTCGACCAGTGGTTTCGACGTGTGATCAGCGGACGCAGACGTTCAGTCACATTTCACAATCCATTCCATGTAAATAAAAACTTTAGTTGTTGTTGAATGTTGGAGTTCCTCGTTCTGGTTTAAAAGAGCAATAATGTCCGACCTTAGAGAAGCGTTGTGGAAAAACGATAATGTTCTACAAGAAGCCATGGTAAAGTATGTAAGACAAGGCCTACAAAGGCGCGAAATTTTGGATTTCCTAACTCGTGACTTTCCGCAATACACGTGGAGTCTTTATAGATCACTGGACAGAAGACTTCGTCATTTTAGTATATATTTCAACGATGATAGTGTAACAGTAGATGAAGTTATTCAGGCAGTTCAAACCGAACTGAAGGGGCCGGGGTTGTTATTGGGATATCGTGCAATGCACAAGAAAATTCGCCAAGAACATTGCCTCAATGTTACTCGAGATCAAGTGTACGATGTTATGAACGAATTGTGCCCGGAAGGTCTCGAAGCAAGAGGTGGCGTCGGTGAAAAGGAGCAACGAAAAAAAGGAAATTTTACCACGAAAGGCACTAATTGGGTCCACTCTCTCGACGGCCACGATAAGCTAATGGGATACCAAAATTCAACTTTCCCATTAGCTATATATGGTTGCCTGGACACCGCAAGTCGAAAACTTCTCTGGCTAAGAATATGGGTGACCAATTGCGACCCTAAGATCATTGGGAAATGGTACCTGGAGCATCTCTATGAAACACGAATAATTTCTGCCATTCTCAGAGTAGACAAAGGCACAGAGACAGGGGTGATGGCTACAATGCATTCATTTTTGAGGAGGTACCACGGGGATATGGATCCACAAGACACCGTTATTTATGGGCCATCAACAGCAAATCAAGTAAGGTTCATCTTAATGGTATTATGCATTCAAAATATATTCTAGTTTCTCTGGCTAAACAATGAAGTCTTGAGACTTTTAGATTAATGCTAACATACAAAATTGAAATATATTCCAGCCACCCAATGCATCATGTCCTATATGTTGGGCATTAGCTAGTTAATGTTACTAGTATATGGTGGTGGTAGGGTTGTTGGACTAATTATTACTTTACCCCAAAGCTGTTATGTAGTGTATAGTTGCACTACACAACAGCTTTGTCATATTGGCAGCTGTTCAAATGCTTCATTGTGCATTTTCAGATTGAAAGGTGGTGGAAAGAGCTTCATCAAAGAATGGAAAAATTCTTTAAAAGTCAATTATGTTGGCTGAAAGACCAAGCCCACTACGACCCCCATAATAACACTGACAGGTGAACACAGTAACAACATATAATTAGCCTTTGTTCATAGCATCAACACCCCTCATCTTTACTATATAGAAATAATTTGTTAGCAACTCATCATCATCAAAACATGCAATATATAATTATTTGATTTTTAATACAGAATGCTTTTAGCCTTCATCATGGTGCCACTCATACAGAAGGAGTTAGACATTTTTCGGGAAAAGGTGTGGAACACACACAGAATTAGGCTACAGAAAGACACAGTACTTCCTGATGGTGTACCAGATCATATTTACAACTTTCCTGAACAGTATGATCTTGAAGAATGTGATAAGTTACAATGTGCAACAAGGTTCATGCATTGATAATTAGCAATAAAAAAATACTGTTTGTATAACTCACTAACCATGGAGTTATGAATCTTCTGTTTCCATCACTAGTTACTGATTATGATGACCTCAAATATTAAGATCACACTGATTTTATGAATATAATTGATCAATTGAAGGGGCTTGCTAATGGTTTTAATGTTTTTTACTTGTTTACATGCCACATGAATGTGAACTGCCACTTGTAGCAGTAAATATTTTAAATATTCTCTAACTGCAGGTTTTGAAGTAAGTGAGAACCAACTTGAAGAGGCTGCAAAAGAATCGGGTGTTCTAGATGTGCCAGGCGACTTTCTTACTGAAGAATTCAGAGCAGAATGCGAGCGCCTAATTCCAGATTATGACACAATCAAACCAGATGAATGGATAACTGCATATTTATACTTGAAGGACAAATGCAGTGTTTCAATGTAATTTTGCTGTTATTGAAATGAAAAATTAACTCAAATCATACATATTAACTTATTACAGAACTACTGCCCATAATTGTTCTTATCGATAATAAATACCAAAAGCAAACATTTCCAACACAACCTAAAACATGTATATATATATATATATATATATATATATATATATATATATATATATATATATATATATATATATATATACATACATGCAACAGTTAATAGAATACATGGTTTAAAGAATACATCAATGGAAGGACAGTGAACATCATTAATTGTATCTTTACCCAACTAACAGCAATAGTTTTGACTAAAATTCTTTTTCATCTGTGGATTTGTGAAAAACAGAAGCATGATTAAAATGGATTTTTTTGCAAAAATACACATACACTCATATTTAATGAGCTGTCTTGTACATGTATTCTATTAACTGGAACACCACATTTTCTCAGAGTTCATGTGTTTACATACAAAGACAATGTTGGCCACCAGTTCACAATGTAGGATTCACCTAGGATGTAATCATTTAGCCTTTGGCCTTAATTTAAGACCTAAGAGTTCACAATATTTATTGCAATAATGATTGTTAAAAAAGCCAATAATTGCTCCTTCAGCCAAATTACCAGTACAAAACATATAGTTACCATCATCACCCACCAGCTCTAGGGTGGCAATTTCGGGGTCGTAGAGGGTATGCCCAGCACCCTGGACATCTAAAACAATCAATTTGCCCTCGGATTTTTCATATGTGAAGTGAGCAAATGCTTGTGCCTTGTTGCAAATATCTCCATCCTCACAAATATATCCGTCGTTATTAATGTATTTTACAAATTCCCCGTCTATGTACTCTTCAATTGTAACATATTTCCCTTCATCCGTTTTGCCCATAAAGACTTTTTTGTATTCAAAGATTTGCCCAAAATCTTTAATTCCATCCTTGGCAACTTTTTGCTGTAATTGTGAAGCAAAATTTTTTGCCAAATAGTGCATTTGCACTGACTTCTGTGTGTGTGTTTGTTCGGTCTCTTTTGTTTGTGTAATTGTGTCAACAGCACTTGGCAAATACTTCTTCACTACCCATGTAGTTTCTTCAAAGCCTGGTGTTATACTGGTGGCTTTAAATGCTTTTCGGAAACCACCAGCAGCAAACGGTGACTCTTCAATCATGAATTCTGCTTTTATAGGCACTGTTGACCAAAGCATGTGTTTAAAATTAAATTGAAATATAGAAATAATAGTGGATTCTTTCTTTGGAAAGGCTTTTCCTAGATGCAGCATGTCTTTTAGCGATAAACTTTTGGGGTAGAATTTGCTTTTGTTGCTTTGTTTTGATGTATTTGTATTCTTCTGAGGGCTAGGATGAGACATAGCCGTTCTGCCTGTTCGCCTGATTTTTTTCTGTGGCTATAATTAAAAGTATAAAGAAAGAATGTTCTCAGAATTCATTCCACTTGAATAAATTGGTTTTTATAAAGGGTGTGGCATCTTGTTCGCTGAATTGTGACATAGGGCGATGGAAAATTCCATAATACACTTTACACACAAAAGCAGATAGTATCAGGCATTATAATACGGAATTTTTACAAGGACACACATTGTCTTTAGGTTCAATAATCACTCAGTCTTAGAAATTACAACGTGAAATTACAACGCAAGCATATAAAAAAGAGCATAGCCATGCAAAGCACGGTCCGTCAGTCTCTAGCCTTTTTTAATATATAATATATTTAATAATGTCAATTTTATAATAGAAACAATAATTATTTTAAATAGTCAAATTAAAATTATATTAGACATTTTTGTCCATGAGGCATGATTTTTAACTACACACTTTTCCATTTACAAGGACACATTCGCCTTTGACAAGGACACAAAGTGTGTCAAAAACACGCGTATTATAATGCCTGGATAGTATACTAGAGCTACATAAATTGGGTATAACGATAACTAGCTGCTTGACCTTTTTTGTGTGTTTCGCACACAAATTAATCCTGCATATTTAATAGTTTTTTGTTTGTAATAAATCAACCTGGACTTCTAACGGGAATCTTCAACCCACTATAGTCTATAGAGAAAATGTATACAGAGGAGAACACACACAAAAGACTATTATATGATTATTGCATTATTAACGAACAAACCTGATCTTCGAGAGCTAGATCTTCGACTTCATCATCGAAAATTGCGCTGACTTCGCTTGGCGTTTCGGGTTTAATGAATCGCACGTAAAATACCTTTTTGTTCGGTATTTGGCTCATAGTTTTACACGATGGGCCACGTTCGCCTGCCAGGATGTCACAGACTGTGCCTTTCTCAATTTGTCCCGCAAAATGCTTTTGGCAAGATTGAACAATGTTTTCGAACGTTAATTCCTCATAATCAAACGGCACAAATTCTTGGGGGCCGATTCGGGAATATTTCTGCTGTTTACCAGACACTTCCGAGCTCATTCTCTGAACTACAATTTCGTCCGCGACCTCATTCGACTCTCCTTTACCTTTCTTCACTTTAGCCATTCTTTTTGCTTTTGTTGTAACTTGAACTGCCTCCAATTAGACATTTTGACAATAGCAATATTTTCCTCGCACGTGTGTGGGTATTTACGGAATGGACTGTAAATAACTATGCATATAATCATGCACGCCCGCGAATCACTCGTGCGCGCATGGTATTATGGTATTGGCAGCGCTCGGCCACAGAGATATTTACTTTTACTTCTGTTTGAGTTTTCATTGTACATTGCTTTTTATTTTCAATTTAAGTTGTACTTTATTTTCAATCTGTTTTTGTTTTGCGTTTTAACTCTACGCAATTTGCAATGTATTTAAAACTCTGATTGACTTTGCATTCAATTTCAAATTTAACATTGTTTTTATTTTTAATTTTAAGTACATAAAAATTAAGAAAATATTATGTGGCAGCCCTCGGCCACCATACATCACTGTGTGGAGAGCTGGACCATTTTTTGTTGAGGGAAGACATATAAGTCTTCTTGAATTGAGTATTCAGCTTAGTCATGATGAAATTACAACAATCCTCAAAAGGTCCATAAATCATTGTGAGAAGATTCAGATGTTGAATAAAATGAATTGCAACCAGTTAAAAGAGGTAATGTTTCAAACATGCACGAGATATTTTTGAACCGAGCCGTACAAGCTATACTTGATAATTCGAAATATGTCTATCTGCAGGGGCGTAGGAACCGGGGGGTTGGCGTCAGGGGCACGTGCGACCCCAAAATTTTTCTATGGATAAAAAGTGCTCGTTTTATTAACCAAACCTGGAAGCTGGTGCCCCCCCCAATCTCTGGATGCTTCGTACGCCCCCGTCTATCTGCTAAAATATCATGCATGGCGGATTTCTGTGAAGCTATCTCGGAATAGGGTTTCCATGGTAACGACTTCGTATGAAAAATGCCTTAGTATCTGAGCTTTGACTATTTGCCTTCACTGATAACAATGCTCAAATCGTTTTTGCTCCTAACTTTTCACAATAGATAATTTGTACTTTTTCGTCCATAGACTGAAACACCAATGCAGGCTTCTGTCGCAGAGAATCGATTCAAAATTGGTGCTGGTGGTTTTTCTTGTGTCTATGTTGGTCTCATGAAGGATGGAAGTGAAGTTGCTGTTAAGAGAATTTTGGTACAAAGTGAGGATGAAACAGTTGAAAACGAAAAGGAAATCATGAGTCTCATTGAAACAAACTCTCCATTTATAGTGAAATATCGACATTTTCACCGTGACGATACCTTCATGTATCTTATTGTTGATCTTTGCGAAGAAACCTTGAGGGAACTTGTTCATGCATGCAGTATTGGACATCTGAAAAGGCAAGGTCCACGAATGATTAGGGAAATTCTATCAGGACTAGAATTTCTTCATGGCAAAGGAATATTGCACAGAGATCTAAAACCATCAAACGTCCTGGTTGATATCGAAGGTCGCATGAAATTGGCAGATTTTGGAATAAGTCGCGTTGTTAATGAAGATGAAACGACAGTTGAAACAGATGCAAAAGGTACTCGTGGATGGATGCTACCGTAAGTAATTGAAGCAATAGTTAAAAAAGAAAAAAGTCGTTTTAAAAGGAAATCAGATGTCCAGGTCGCGGGTATGATTGCTTTTTCATCTTAACTAAAGGTGAACACACTTTTGGATCTGAATTAGACCGAATGAAAAATATTTTGGAGAATAATCCTGTCAATTTGGAGAAACTTGGTGATCGCACAGCTCGTAGGTTTTTGTCGTGGTTGATTAATCACAAGATTGATCATAGACCTTACGCTCACGAAACACTGAGAGATATCTTTTTTAGCAACACCACATGAAACACAGCGAGCAATTAGACAACCAACCTCGACGTTTGTTTGAAATGACGAATCCTTCCTAGCCCAAGTTTGTCCATAAATGAAAAATAATTAGCGAGGTTGTTTTATCGCACCCATTGGGCATTGCATATTTTTTACACTTGAAATATCCTTGTTATAAAGAGCTTAACACAACGTGTTGTTTGTTTAGGTAGAATATAAATATTACTACAGTCCTCAATATATTGTACACTTTTTCAAAGAAATATTTCATAACTGAGGGGCTGTTCACATGAGCCAGGTTACCGAGATGAATTTAAAAAGGGTGCTTGGATTATCGAGAACTAGCCATTTCCAGCTGATCTGAGATCATGACGTCATAAAGCGTCTCGACAAAACTGAGTTATTATACGCCTGGTGTTATTTGTCTCTATTCTTCTAACTAATAGTATAAAGGGTGAAAAATTTAAACTCTAATTTACAGTTGAGAAAAAATGTTTCAGAAACTGATTATTGATCAAAAACCTTTCTATCTGTTCGGACGAAATAAAGATTCCTGTGATTTTCCACTGAATCACACCTCATGTTCAAGAGTTCATTCTGCTTTAGTCTTTCATAAACATTTAAACAGACCATTCCTTATTGATCTAAAAGCAGTAAGTACAATGTTTTGATTTGAAGAAGTTAAACAAGTACGATCGTACTATAGTGGACCAGAGAGTGCGTGTCCAAGTTTCTGAACTGTATTATATTTACAACAATAGAGAGGACAATGTATTTCTAATGGTTTGCGTTTACTTATATACAGGCTGAATATTAAAGATATATAGGCTGAATATTAATGATATGTATATATTATTTGCTGCACATAAAGTCAAGAATTGCTTGTAACTTGCTTCAACGGTCAAAAGTAAAAATTCGAACTCCGTCAATCGATGCGGAATATTGCTTAGAATAATTGTGCCAAGTTTCATTCCGATCAAACAAGTAATGATAGAGCCTTAGCGTTTTTTTAAAGAGCATCGCCCCCTAACAAGAAGAAGAAGAAGAAAGAGATCTAGAAGAAGAAGATTAGCAGCGGTTAGGGACCAGTTCCTGGTCCAATAAGTTTACCAGGCTCTGTCTGTACCCTGAGACAAACTGACATCCCAGCTTGACTGTAACATATTGTACATGAATAATTCTGAGTGTAATTAAAGATATCTTATTATCTGAAAAACTGGACTGCCACCAGTAAGAATTTTTTGTGAAGAAATTTGACCTAAATGACTTTACTCTCCAAACATAATAAAGTAGGAATATAAATATTAGTTATGTATCTTGATGTGGATGCAAGTTTCAAAACTAGTGCTAAATATTTTAACCCAAAATCATGAAAATCAAAGCAAATAGTAAAGCAAACTGTATTCAGGAAAATGCTTTATAATGGCAAAGAATTTTAAACCATTTTTAAACCATTTTATGACAGAATTTATTGTATGACAACAATTTTTGACGAAAATTGGATTGTCTCTGGTCTGCCCTATCACGCACTTGCATAGCAATCGGAGGGTGGGTGAAGGTGCAATCCTACCGCACTTTACTTCCTGGTTAAATTTTTCATTCTTGGAAAACTCGGAAAATTGCATGATAGAGGGTGTATGCAATGACATTTTGCAATAAGCCATCACCTCACACCTTTATACCCCCCTCATTTTTTTTCAGCTGTGATGGCATAGTAATAGGAGGGTGGGTGAGGGTGCAACCCTCCCCCGCTTTTCTTCAAGATCATATTTCTTACACTTCAAAGACCTGAAAGATAAAGGGCAACGGGGTGTATGCGATGAAATGTTTTTCCTTCAGCCATCATTCCCCAGCTTTACCCCCCCCCCCCTCACTTGTTTTGGGAAAAACCAACATTACCAAGTGCTATGCAAGCGACAATGCCTGGTAATAGTGAACAAAATGTGAATAGAGAGGATTAGAGGATAATGAAGGTTCAACGGGGGGATTTTTGGGATTGCCGGAGTCCGATACAGATCTTAAGGTGAGTTCCGTTCTTTTTTACGATTTTCTTTGATCAAAATGTATGTATATAAGTAAATTTCCGTGAAATGCACAAAACTTTCGTAGTTGCCAAATTTACATCTCTGAAAAATTGAATCGGATCGTAAGTTTCATGATTGCAAAATTGCAGGGTTCAACGCGCTTGTTTTTTTCGACTTAACCTATCGTATTTATTTCCTTCCTGGGCACTCGGCTTGAACTAGTGACTTTAAAACAATGGGTTATATTACGGTACCGTTTGAAGTAAAGAACAGCTCTAAGAGTTTGTAAGGGAATGCAAACCGTAACAGTGTGAACCCATAACCAATTTCTACCATCAGAGTACTCTGTGAAAGTTCCAATATAACCAGGGAGCAGCGTGGCATTGTCTTAAAACAACTTAGCATCAAATGTGGTATAACAACTGCCTAAAATAGACAAAACACTTCTCGACATTTCGACCTGAGGGCCTTCGTCAGGAAAGTTAGTATGACAAACTGTTTACAACTACATATTCAGTGCATAATATTCAAGTTGACTCATTCCATAGAGATGTAAGAGTGTCATTTAATTTTGACTTATCCACCGTTTAAGCTTAACGGGCTTGATACAACCGGCCCCAGTACCACTCAGTTTAAGATAGCTATTGTAAGGAACGATGAAGTTTCACTCAGTGCCCTGTTACATGACAAGCAGCCCGGTCACTGCTGTTAGGTCATGCTATTATATATGTATATAATTACAATAAGGCTGGCAACTCTCTTGCAAAAAATATATTACATACATTAATACCATCGCTTAAAACAAAAATACTACGCTAGTTTCTTAAAAAAAACCCAGATACAAAACACCTTGGATATATTGACTATATTTATCTGTCGTTTTTAGACTTGAAAAAAAACTCTAAAATGCTCAAATTTGGCGAATTAAAAGTGTATTTTTGTTGAAATTTTGCGAAACAGAGGCGGGATGCAATTTACTTGACAAACGTCATCATCGGAGAATTCGTCCGCAAAATTTTTGATTAGCTGTGGCAAGTTCGGAAAATAACGAAAATCTTTTTTCTTCATTGAGTTGGCCTTCGTTATTTTTCCTGTGGCTACACGGTGGAATTTTTTATGCAACTTGCAATGCATTCATACTTTTGAGAGATGTATATTACCGATCAATCCACAAAATGTAAGTCTAAGAAACCTACACAGATCTAAGAAATTTACACGGAAGTTTCGTCGTTACCAAATTTACATCTCTCAAAAGTAGGATTGTATTGCAGGTTGCACTGTGTAACCGGGCCTTTACAGACGTTCAAACATGATAGTAAATGGCAAGAGAATTGACGCGTGGACAGTCTTGCACTTCGCAGTTAAAAAAGGTACACTAGAAATAGTAGAATATCTCGTTGAACAAGGCGCTGATGTAAATGGAAAAAGACTAACAGGTGGACAGTCTTGCACTCCGCTGTTAAAAATGGTACCGTAGAAATAGCGGAATATCTTGTCGAAAAAGGCGCTGATGTAAATGGCAAGAAAAATGACGGCTGGACTGTGATGCACGCTGCTGTTGCTAGAGTTGCGATAGACGTACTAGAAATAGTAAAATATCTGGTTGAAAATGGAGCCGATGTAAATGGAAAAGATACTGACGGATCGACAGTGCTGCACAGTGCTGTTGCTGGAGGTACGCTAGAAATAGTGAAATATCTTGTTGAAAATGGAGCTGATGTAAATGCAAAAAATACTGACGGATAGACAGTCCTGCACACTGCTGTTACTAAAGGTAGGCTAGAAATAGTAAAATGTCTTGTTATTAAACATGGTGCTGACGTAACTCTTAAAAGTAAACGCAGTGTTCATACTCTTGGCATTGACATCCTGAAGATTGCCGTTGAGAAAAATTCAGTTGCTTTGGTCAATCTTCTGTTGGAAAAGAACATCGCTGTGTGGAGAGCTGGAACATTTTTTGTTGAAGGAAGACAAATGAGTCTTCTGGAATGGAGTATTCACCTTGGTCATACTAAAGTAATATTCATTGTGAACTATCGACATGTTCACCGTGGCGATGACTTTACGTATCTTATTGTTGATCTTTGCGAAGAAAATATGAGGGAACTTGTTCAAGCATCCAGTATTGAACATCTACAAGGTCTTGACTTTCTTCATGATAAAGGAATATTGCACAGAGATCTAAAACCATCAAACGTCCTGGTTGATAATGAAGGCTGTATGAAATTGGCAGATTTTGGAATAAGCCGCGTTCTAAAAGACGATGACACGACAATTGAAACAGATGCAAAAGGTACTCGTGGATGGATGCCACCGTAAGTAATTGAAGCAATAGTTAAAAAAGAAAAAAGTCGTTTTAAAAGGAAATCAGATGTCCAGGTCGCGGGTATGATTGCTTTCTTCATCTTAACCAAAGGTGAACACCCTTTTGGATCTGAATTAGATCGAATGAAAAATATTTCAGAGGATAACCCTGTCAATTTGGAGAAACTTGGTAATCGAAGAGCTCGTAGGTTAGTGTCGTGGCTGATTAATCACAAGATTGATGATAGACCTTACGCTCACGAAACACTGAGATATCTTTTTTAGCAACACCACAAGGAACACAGCGAGCAATTAGACGACTTTTTTTGATGAATCCTTCCTGGCTTCCGCTGCTTCATTGAAAAGGGAATTTGGAGCGACACAAGGGCGACGGAACAAAGCTAATTTTAAAATAATTATCACTGTAGTATAGTAGAGGGGGGATAAGTTTGTCCTTGAAAGGCAAACTTATAGCGACAAAAATTAGACACAAGGGCGACAGAATCAGTCGCAGTAGATTTGCATTTCGTAGACAGTCGGTAGCAACTTTGATGGTCGGTAGCATCATTTACAGTTTTGGAAGTCGCCGTGCACTTTGCGACACTTTCCGAATAAAAATCGACAAGAAGGTATTTTAATTATTTGCGAGTTTTGCTTTATCTACGTGATGTCCCGAATTTAGGATTCTGCCTATTCGCAGGTTGGATAATTGACAGGACCGGGGGGGAGTAAAGCGAAGCGAACACGTAACACGAGGAGATACGAACGACAAACGTTTACGAGAGAGTTTAGGCGAAATTTTGTATTTTATTTTTACTTTTTTCATATTAAATATTCCATTTTACTTTATGTGAGTGTGTGCGGAATTACGGGTCGGTACAGTGATTCTCAATCCTATTTCAATCATCGGGATAATAGTTTAGCAGAATGTGCTGTAGTTCTTATTAATAAATGGAAATTAGGTACAGTTGGAATAAATATATATATATATATATATATTTCTTACACTTAGAATATCCTCAACACAACGTGTGGTTGGTTCAGGTAGAACCTCAATATCACAGTCCACATGCAATATATTATTGTACACTATTTGAAAGAAAGATTTCATAACTGAAATATTTCATACCAAGATGACTTTAAAAAATCTGTATGGACAATGAAGAACTAACTAGCCATTTGTCATCACGTCTTTAAAATTATAGGATTATATTTGTTCGTTACGAGAACGATTTTGCTAGGCACTAACTGTAAATAGTCCCAGATTTAATTGACGCTGTATTGCCTGCGACATGACTTATGCTGTATGGAAGCAGTAGCGTAGCCAGCCTGTCGATTTCTCCCGCTATGCTAATATTTTAGTGTTCACTGACTGTGAAAACAATAGATTTCTAAAGGCATGAATAATTATAATAACTCGAAATTTACATAGCGGGACAAAATCGTCAGGCTGGCTACGCCACTGTATGGAAGGTGTTAAGATAGAGCTAGAAGCAATAGAGACTCGGTGATTGTTTTTATTTACACTTCTTTTGCTGACGAAAATGAAAAATATTTAATTGCAGTACGTAGAATCTTTGTGGTGTTTAGATGCTCCAGGTTTAATCTGTAACTCGAGCTGCAAAGCGGAAATTGGATCTTACTGGTTTATTGACTATTGTGAAATACCGCAGACAATGGTTGATTTTGATGACAAAGATTTTTATCCAATATATTTGTTTCATTTTCGATGCTGTATCGGCACTCTTTATTATGATGTATAGAACATAAACCATTGAAAGTGGGTAAGTAGATTATAATCACAATGATTTGCTTCAGCACTACAGAACTCAAAAGCGGCTAGAAATCGTGTTATGATCGAAACGAGCAGCATATATTTGTGCGAGGTTTGTGTGTCACATTCCCGTGTGATTGCCACACTACACAAATATTACTAGGTTACCTGCACTGTAGGGATTGCTGCGAGCATTTTAGCGTCCAAGTGAACTGTCATATGAAATGTTGATAAACTAAATCGGTTTTAAATAATAGTAATAGCAGGTTTAAAACACGTAAAGTGAACCTCTATTGAGCGTTAACTCGCTGGGGCTGTACATGAATTAATACCTGTTAGCGAGAACACTGTCAATGACGTCCTATAGAACGCCATGACTGTCTTAAGTGATCAAACATCGTTATACGTGGTGCTTTTAATAATATACGCGGCCGTTTAATCATTATACGTGGTCCTTTTAATTATATACGCGGCAGTTTCATCATTATACGTGGTGCATTTAATAATATACGCGGCCGTTTTATCATTATACGTGGTAGTTCTATTGTTATACGTGGTGCTTTCAACAATATACGCGGTAGTTTTATCATTATACGTGGTGCATTCAACATTATACGCGGTGGTTCTATTATTATACCTGGTGCATTCAACATTATACGCGGTAGTTTTATCATTATACGTGGTGCATTCAACATTATACGCGGTGGTTCTATAATTCATTATGCGTGGTGCTTTTGATATTATGCGTGGTAGTTTTATTATTACACATGGTGCTTTTGACATTATACGCAGTAGTTTTATTATTATACATGGTACTTTTAATATTATACGCTTCTATATGCATTCGCTCTGCTTTCACTATTATATGCGGTAGTTTTGTTACTCACGATACCAGGACGAAATAAAACTCCCGTATTTTATTTCGCAATTTCGCCGCCGAATCTGCAGTTATTATAGCCAGTTCATTTGATAGTCGATAGTAATACTTCATGCAACATTGGTATGGAATTTAACATGGCCGACTTTTTGCAAAAATGGAGAAAATTTTACAGCAGCTTGGACTAGCAAATCTTTTAAGTCTATTTGTCGCAGAAAGGGTGGATGAGAAAATCGTTCTTTCTTCAACGGACAGCGAACTTTCTCGCATTGGGGTCTCAACTATTGGGGATAGGGTGCGATTACGGGAATTATGCAAAAAATCTCTAGAGTTAACTGCTCAAGGAGTCAAGGGGGTTCTACATCAGGAGCCTTAGCCTCTCAAGAAGTTCGAAAATTGTTTCACAATAACCGAAGAGGAAGTAAAAAGGGAACAAAACAATCGAGGAAAAGGACTTGGACAGCCCAAATGGTTTGCTTGGCAGATAGAATGGCGTACAAAGTCCCCACTGCAGCCGAAAAACAAGTTCTGTTTAAGGCAGGGCTAGGATGTAAGAAGATCAAATTCGATGTAGATGATGACGAGGAAACAGTCGTGAAGAAAATAACTTCAAGTGAGACTGAGAATGGCTCGTCTGAAGTTCTTGGTTTTCCACAGCTTAATTATGATTGTGGTGTGTTTGAACTGATGAGATGCGTAGCGAATTGCAGGGAACTTGTTGTTGTTGATGGCTCATGGTCTGTAAAAGACTTAAAAGCAAATGGCGGTCCTCAGGCAAAAATCTATCTGAGACCTATCCAAAAGTCTGTCTTGACAAAACCTCTTTTTTCTCGAAAAAAGTCAGAAGTAAAAGAAAAGTGCATTAGTTGTGATCAAGAATTTTTAGTACATGAACTGCGAAAACACAGTTTTCGGTGCACAAAGATGTTTGATACAAGTGATGAGGGTGAAGAAGAAAAGCAAGAAGATGTAACCCACATACCTAATGATGGTCCAGGCCAAACTGATGATTTGGAAATTGAACCATTTATCATGTCTTCAGTCGCATCTGAATCAGTTATATCAATAACAGTACAACTACCAACTCTACAAGTTTCTGTTAATCATGCAACACCTCCTATCATTATTGATCCAGATGAGAGTGTCTCTGACACCCATGAAAAGACGGTTGATAATATCATTGCAGAATTAGTCCAATATTGTCATTCTAATGATGTATCAGATCCTGTGGAGATTCTTTCCTGCTACCAATCCATGTTTGTTAAAGGAAGAGCACTGGAAATCAAAGACCCATCAGTTTGTGAAGAAGACGATACAAATATCATTTTTATTGATCGTGAAAATGTATTGGATACAGGATTTGATGAAATTGATCAAATCCAAAACTTGCGTACAACATTAGAAATTGAGTTCTATGGGGAGGTACAGTGAATAAATTTATTTCAATACTGCATTTGTCTGTGTGTATATATAAATTTATTTATGTGATATAATAAATATTTTTAAGAGTGCCAAAAACTATGGAGGACCTCGCAAAGAGTTCTTTGTGTTGATTTTGAATGCAATCAAACATAAATATTTTGATAAAGGACTGAGAAAGCACTTCTGTGATCAATATGAAACAGTTGGAAAGATCCTAGGTATGCACATAGCCATTAAAATGTTGTTCATATTCAAATACTAAAACTGTGTCATTCAAAATAATTGCACTGAAAATTGTTATTTAAATCTAGGATTGAGTATCGTTCAAAATGGCAAAATCCCTAAGTTCATAGATGATGAAATTTTGGAAAGATTACTGCAGATTAACCCTAATGAAGATTCTTGCATTATTCAACTTCGAAAGGGTTTAAAACAGATAGGAATAATTCAGGTGAGCAAATTTAAGAATAATGATCACCAAATCCAATTAAATCTAAAAAATTAGTGCTAATCAGTTTTTTGTTGTTTTAGATTAGCAAGACAGATGCCAATATTTAGGCATCTGTTTATCCCAAGTCAAAGTGAAAATATATCAATCAGAATGGTTATCCACTTATCAAAGCCTAAGTTCAGTGAAGAGGGTTCAAATTCATTGAAATTTGAAAAAGAAGTATATGCTATATTCGTTAAATATCTTCGCGAAGTTACAGGTAATGCATGTATAAATATATATATATATATATATATATATATATATATATATATATATATATATATATATATATATATATATATATTTATTGAGCATGCAAAGCATTATTGTTTTCTTAAGATTAATTATTCAGGTGAGTCAATGTGAACCATTTTAAATAATGTACAGTACTATGGTTTGTATGCTCAATGGTCATAATTTTGCTGGCAAAACGTTTTTTGAATATGTATATACCTACATGATTTATTTAGCTGGAAGAAGAAGTAACATATCCTTGGGAAATATTTTACAATTTGTTACTGGGATGGATGAAGAGCCAGTTCTTGGTTACACCCTGCAACCTAAAATTGTTTTCACTGAAGTAGAATCATCATTTGTTCCAACTGCAAATACATGCATAAATCAACTCAATCTTCCTAGACCAACAATGGGAAAACCTTTACCAGCTAATAACACCAACATCTTCGAACTATATGACTATGCATTCCTTAATTGCTATTTTGGTATGGCTTAGATGTGGTTGTGAAAATGTACTGTAGATTTAATGTAAATATAAGTTGTAGCTTCCAAATTTATGGTTTATGGGTTAAAGGTTGGTTTTCATGCGACATAATTTGTCGTAATTCTTTGTTATGGAAAGTCTTTGTTATGGAAATATTATGTAAAATTAAATGGGTAAAAGTTTATATTGTTTTCCATAACCTTATGATGAAAATTCACATTGACAAAAGTTATGTTTGTACAAATAAATGTTAAAGTTCGATGTGATTGTTCATTATTTCAAGAGTTTCTTCATACTTATCTACGCCATGGTTGTTAGATGTCCATGTACTTGGCACCCTATATGCCATCTCTTGCAGGCAATCTTCACTCAGCTCTACTTGAGGTGCCTCAAAAATTGGTCGCTGGCTAACATCATTATCTTGCTCATCTATGTTACCCTCAACACCATACATTGCAATATCAGCCATGTTGATGTCATTGTTAATGGGGTTTTGTATCTGACCAGACACATTTGCATTGGTGACGATCGTGTTGTACGTAGCTTGTGTCTTGCCCAGGCATCCCGCCATGTTGCTAACTTCTCACTTATTTTGGAATAATAAACATGATGAAGTGCTGCGATGTGCAGATCATTAAGTGGATCAAGTATACTTGATTCTTCCATAAAGTAAAACAACTTGTAGTAGTAGCCAAGGACACCAGTAAATACATCTTTCCACAATCTCTCAATCCTCTGATTGTGGGTGCTTTTACCAGTTATCATGCTCGCCCGATTTGCACCCTGCTTCTCAATCATAAATTGGGCTATATGGACATTTTCTAAACCATTGTCGCCTCGTACCCTGCTAGGTAAACCGTATGTTTGAATACCGTCTAAAAACCCCCGTAAGAGTGTATGAGCTTTGTTGTTGTTGAAGCATTTCAAGGCAACACATAGTCGACTAAAACAATCCAGGCAACCAAAAATGACAAAATTCCAACGAACAAGCTTATGGTTTGTATCCAAATGCCACAAAGCATTTGGGCATGGCACGTTGTAAACACGTCGGTGTAAACGACCTCGCTTTCTATCTTCAACTCCATCTGAATCCACTCTGTGAATGCTGTCTCGTAATCTCGCACGCTGTACTCTTACACCTCTACCGCGGAGAATTTGGTTCAACATGTTCTCTCCACACAAAGGAAAATCTTTGCATAAAGTTTTAACTTCACTGTCAGGGTCCTACTAATAACCGACAACAACCGACAACAACCGACAACAAGCTAAAAATTAACGACAGAAAGCTTATAATCATCGATAACGATCTAATAGACGCTAATATTATGTTTCTTCGACTTTATTTTTACAATAACAGTAATAATATTACGAATTTCGAGCCCGTCTTGTTGGCTTTTTTATGCTTCCGCGCGCCATGACTGAAGCGAGTGCTTCCACACTGAAAATTTATAATTGCCTTTAGATGTTCATTTCGGTGCCAAAAAGTTATAATATGTATTTACAATACTACACTAGAAATACATGCATGCAGCAACCCCTCGCCATTTAATAATAATAATAATAATAATAATGAATTTATTACAGTATCTCCACTAAAGAGTGGCTCTTCATCTGTAAAATACTACACTCTATAAAACCTATATTAAACTATATTTACAATATATTAAAATTTCCTACAAACTAAGTCTATTTGTAGCCTTCTCTTTTAAATGTTTCAATAAAAGACCTTTAAACTCATTTAATGAAGTGCAATTTCTAATAGCAGAAGGTAAGCAGTTAAAACTTTTGAATGTGCTGTCTTGAAAGGTGCCTGGTGTTTTTGGCACCTTTAATGTTGTCTCTGTCGAAGATCTTAGTGACCTTCCAGGAGTATAAACATCTAATTTGAGGTACGATGGCCAATTAGTAAAATACATGGCCTTGAAAGCAGCAAGGAGCAGATGACTTTCCCTACACTCAGCAATGGGTAGCCATCGTAATATTACTAGATCAGATATTCTAGCATATCGCCCAAGAACAAAGCTGGCAGCAGCTAGCTGCACACGCTGAAGGCGTTTTAAAAGATAATCTGAAATTGGATGACTGACAATGTCATTATAGTTGATTTTGGAGATAATGAGACACTCCGACAATTGCTTTCTTACATCAAAGGGAGCAATGTGCTTCAGTTTTCTAACGACCGCCAACGTCCGATAGCAGGTAGATATCTTGGAGTTTATTTCATCATTCCACCTTAGGTTTTGATGAACTTGCGTACCAAGCAAGGGGAAGGTTGAAACTTGCTCAATTTTCTTTCCATTTACATCAAGGTCTAGAGAAACTGCATCAAGACCATGCACCCGTGACATTTGGGGAGTTGACAAAAGCATAGCCTTTGTCTTTTTCGGGTTAAGAGTTAAATTGCATTGCGAAGACCAAGATGACAGCCTGTCGAGCGCAGATTGTATTTCCGATTTTCCATTCTCAATTTCAGTTGGTTTGCAGTGTTTATAGATTGTCGTGTCGTCTGCATATTGGTGTGAGTTGACTTCGGGTGGCAAAACTTCCGATAAATCGTTAGTGTACAAGTTAAAGAGTACTGGGCCTAAAATTGAACCCTGAGGTACTCCGAACGTCACACCAATATGTTTTGAAGCATGATCATCGATTTGAACATACTGTCTCCGTCCTGTCAGATAACTTGCTATCCACCTCATGGATGACTTGGAAAAACCTAGCTGGTTTAATTTGATCAATACTGTCTCATAAGCCACAGTATCAAAAGCTTTCGAATAATCTGCCATGACAGCAATTGTGACTTCGCCCCGTTTCATAGCCTTTAATATATCGTCCCTTATTGCAAGCAGAGTTGTTGTTGTAGAATGGCATTTTCGATAAGCACTTAAATTTGGATGGAGAACAGAGTTGTCTGTGAGATAATGAGCCATTTGCTGCAAAGCAAGCTTTTCATATACCTTTGATAACACTGGTAATATGGAAACTGGGCGATAATCATCATTCGTCTTAGGTTCATTCACTTTAGGAATGGGACTGATACGAGCTATCTTCCATAAAGATGGAAATTCCTTCTGTTTAACACATGTATTTATGATATATGTGAGAGGTGATGCCAAGTGCTCCGCAACGAGTTTAATAAATTTAGTTGGTATATTATCAGGACCGGTAGAACAATCAGATCGTAGTCCTTTGATTTCCCGCAAAACTTCATCATAACTTACACGTCGAAAGTCGAATGACAGACTTGAGTCTTCACCGAACTGAGTGATTAGTTGATGTAATTGCTCCATTACCACGGGGGAAGACACAGAAGTAACACGTTCAGCAGTCTGGGCAAAATACGTGTTGAGTTGATCCGGGTCGACACGAAGTGGCTGATGGCTTGGATTCAAAATGCGATGTATTGTCTTCCAAACTTTCGTGGGTCTCTTACACGAAAGCGCTTTCATCATAAACGTTCTTTTTGCCTTCTTGATTACCTTTTTGAGTTGATTCCGAGTGTCTCTAAATATATTCCATGCACTTTCATTGCTAGGGCGTTTATGTGCTTCTTGGCGTTCAATTCTACATTTCTTTTGGAGGGAAAGGATGTTAGGTTCATTCAGCCATGGTGCGGGCGGCCTTGTTAATTTAGTGCGCCGCAAAGGCGCATGTCTATCCAGACACTCTAGAACCATAGCATTTAGGACGCTAATTTGATCGTCAGGATCTTCGAAAGCATACACAGTCTCAAATGGGAGTGCAGCGAAGTCATTCACATATGAAGTCTCGTCAAACTGTCTCTCGTTCCTAATGAACTTATACCTGGGTTCGTATCGAGGAACCCGTACGTTGACAGTAATGTATGGCGCGTCGTGATCACTGACTAAAGGGCATGGTAAGACGTTACTATATGTGATACGTTGCGGTAGATTTGTTACAATATGATCAATAAGTGTCCTAGATGACTTGGTCGTTCTCGTTGCCTTGGTGATCACCTGTTCCAAATTCAGAGAATCTAGCACTTCGGTGTACCGTTTAACGTCTGGGTTGTTCTGCTTGAGCATATCGATGTTCACATCACCTGCTAAAAGAAGCATTCCGTCCCATGAAGAAACAATTTCACTAATAAATTTTCTAATATATCTAACCACTCTGAAAAATGCATTTGACTCTGCGACCGATATATGGTACCCAATAGCATTTTACTGTTTTTGTTTCGACCTGGGAGCTCAATCCATAAATGCTCGATTTTTGGATAGCGATTCTCAATGTCTGCTCGTCGTTTAAACTTTATTGTTTCTTTCACATACACCCCAACCCCACCACCTTTTACTTTGTCCCTGTTGCGGAAAGCATTGCAGTATCCAGGGATATTAACATGTTGGAGTAATAAAGGATTATTCTTTAACCACGTCTCACTCATACTTATAACATCAAATGGGTACTGCCTCAAGGTCATCTTCAGCCCGTCAAATGTTGAGATCATACTTTGCGTATTTATGTGCATGATCTTCATTTGTTTATCCCTATTATTCAGTGCTTCGAGATGTATATCTTCCATGACTTCACTATCGCTGGAAGCCATGCTTTCTTCGTCCGATAGTGATAAATTGTGCATGTGGAAGGGCAAAAAACTACCTATGCATTTAGGGCATACCCATGTCCTCGGGGTAGAAGAGGAGACGCTTTTATGGTCGATATCTTGGGTGCACTTTGCGTGTATAAAGTCAAAACATTCGGTACAAACACAACGCTTGTGGTTTTTCGCTACTGGTTTCTCACACTGTGTACACCGAGGTGCCGTCTGTCTTCGATTGTGGATGGACGTGCTGTTAGTATTTGGTCCAGGATTTATCTCAACATCGCCACACACCAATAGTAGACGAAACGTAGCCGTCGAATTGTTGTAATATCTAATTCTTCTAGATATCCATTTTCTTCGGTCTGGCAAGGAATTTACAACAAAAACAGATGACAATGGTGCAAACAATAGACTTCCGTTTTGCCAATGTGATTCATCAGCAATGCAAATTCCATATCCATTTAACAACTTAAGTTGAATTCTTGAAGCAAGAATATAATCCATGAAACTACCATTTCTGTTCCACTGTAAAGTTATTCCCGAATAAATATCCACCGGGCCATTTGCTATTGCTTTTATACATGTCTCAAGGCCAGAATTTTCATCTTGTGATGCAAAAGAAAGGCAAAAAAACAGCCAAAGCACGGAGCAAACGAACCGCCGCATGATACACATGGTTGAACCATGAAAATCAGAACTGAACTGTGTGTCAAACATTGTCATTTCAAACGAAGCAAAATATTTCCTGAGCTAGCCAGACCTAACCTTCAATATTATGAAATGTCCTAAATGTAAAGCCGATAGCTGATGTTTCGGAAACAAACACAGTCGTAAAGGTGAAGTGAAATCATCCGTTTTCCTGCTGCTTTCCGTTGCATTAAGTTACAGACTTTCACAGTTTAAGTGAGAGTTAATACTTCATTATAGCTAAACCTTCAAAACATCAAAACAGCACAAATAATATAAATAACCAAGCAGTGAACGTCGAATGCTGTTTTTCGATTATTAAATTCATGCAGTGATTGCAGTCGACTCTATAAACCTTTAAAGTGATATTTGTTATATTAAAACTCCGAATTACACTCAAGTTCATCGTCTGTAATGTCGCTGAATGCTAACTTACTCAGCCCAAACATTCTCATCCTTCTATAAACTGTGCTTTCGGAAATGGTTTTAAAGCACACACTTTGGAACTTCAAACTTTGGCGCTCCGCAACCACTATTTACTCTTGCAAGCTGTTCCCCCCAAAATTTTACGCATTCAACTCTTACTCTCATCATATCTGCGCGATTTTGAATACCTAGTATCTCGAACTCGTAAGCAGCAAGTTGCAAACAATATTTGGAGTGATTTACTCCTCGGCAAACTTAGAAATATATTTTCTAGATGAAGCTTCTTTAAAATTCCCTCCATCTTTGATTTTGTTAATATGTCTTACATAAAGTATACCTATAAAACCACCGGGTTAAATTTCCACTTAGGAAAAATACTGCATCTAATAGTGGAAACACCGCAAATGTAGCAGGCTTTGCCAGGCTACCAGTGATTACGACGTATACACGTATAATGATAAAACGGCCGCGTATATTATTAAATGCACCACGTATATATAATGATAAAACTGCCACGTATATAATTAAAAGGACCACGTATAATGATTAAACGGCCGCGTATTTAAGACAATCATGGCGTTCCATAGACGTCAATATGTAGGTCAATATATGCTATATCAAGTTCTAACTTTTATCTTGAAATTGTTTTGAAATAGGCTGGTTTATATTATGATTTCGCGAGTTAATTAGCTATACTGAAGAAAAAAGATTTATAAATGTTCAATTGCCCAAAGGATTTGTAGATTGCACTCGGCAAAAAGGAATCATCTGAAAATAGCCATTTTACAGTGTCATGAATACCAATTTCCCTGGTGTTGGATAGACCCGGGAGTGTTTTTCCCGCTCTCAAGGGTAAAGGAGAGAACGCTGTCTTGCGAGTTACAGCTCGTTGAAGTCAAAGTCTTCAGAAGCAGCTACTTTTAAAAATATTTTAACATACGAATCACAAGAGGAATATTAACAATAATAGTAATATTAGGTAGAATTTTGCGCGCGTAGCGACATTTTCCCCGCAACAAAGTTGAAAGTATTGTACTTTTCAGTTTCCGCGCGGAAAGTATTGTTTGGGCGCAAAATTCTGCCTAGCGAAAATACAGGCCCTGAGCAGTAGCTAGTTTAAAATTTGTGTTCTAAGCATAAAAAACGCGCACGACCACAATTCCTTGCGCTAAATAAAATTTAGTTCAGAACCCCTTCTCTGCACAAATTGGACTGTTACGCTCGCTCGCTTCAGGCTCGCTCGCTTCAGGTTCGCTCGCTCCGCAGCAATTATATCAGTGAATCAAGCAGCGTCCATGTTAACCTCAGAAACCTATTTTTTATTTGAAGCAGAAGTATTTTGTTAAACTAAGGTACCAGTGTTGCAAGCGCAATATTATTGGCGCGGCACGCCGGGACGGCTAAAATTGGTACTAAAAGTCTCGAATCCAATTTTATTAGTGCTCGGGCTACGAATACAAAGGCCTAGCACCGATAAAACATTTTACAACATTTACACACGATAATTATATAACTATAGTTTTCATCCATTTGGATCCACAAAGAATACAATTGTTTTAAACTATGAGTAAATTTCTCTTTCTTTTCTAAAGTCGAACAACAACTATTCCCAACGATACTCACTAAACTTCACCACTGGCTGGTTGTTCTTAACGTTTATAATAGAAATGGATATAAAGCCAGAAACAAGTGGAAGTACAAGTGTCCGCGAATATGGTTCGAAACATCTTCAAGACGATGGAATAACTTCTCAGAGTCCAATGCAGTCTACATCATTAGCAATTGTGAAGTTTTTGGTTAAATATTGTGGTGCTGACTTAAGTTGTAAAGATGAGTGGGGCAAAAATGCTTTACATTTTACTGTTGATTTTGGTGAAACAGACTTTGTTAAATATTTTGTTGAACAATGTGGCGCTGATGTAAATGACAAGGATAATAACGGGTGGACAGTTCTGCACTATGCTGTCACTAAAGTTACGCCAGAAATTGTAAAATATCTTGTTGAACATGGTGCTGATGTAAATGACAAGGATAAAAAAGGGTGGACAGTTCTGCACTATGCTGTCACTAAAGGTACGCCAGAAATTGTAAAATATCTGGTTGAACATGGCGCTGATGTAAATGACAAGGATAAAAAAGGGTGGACAGTTCTGCACCATGCTGTCACTAAAGGTACGCCAGAAATTGTAAAATATCTTGTTGAACATGGCGCTGATGTAACTGACAAGGATAAAAAAGGGTTGACAGTTCTGCACCATGCTGTCACTAAAGGTACGCCAGAAATTGTAAAATATCTTGTTGAACATGGCGCTGATGTAAATGACAAGGATAAAAAAGGGTGGACAGCGCTGAACTACGCTGTTACTAAAGATACGCCAGAAATTGTGAAAGACCTTGTTGAACATGGCGCTGATGTAAATGCGAAGAATAATAACGGGTGGACAGTTCTGCACCATGCTGTCACTAAAGGTACACCAGAAACTGTAAAATATCTTGTTGAACATGGCACTGATGTAAATGAGGTGAAAAATAACGGGTGGACTGTGCTGCACGATGCTATTATTAAAGGTACGGTAGAAATTGTAAAATATCTTGTTGAACATGGCGCTGATGTAAATGCCAAGGATATTAACGGGTGTACATTGTTGCAGTATGCTGTTAGGTTTAATAGATTACAGATTGTAAAGTATTTAGTTGAAATGTGTGCTGACGTGACTCTTCGCACTCACAATCTTGGCATTGACATCCTCAAGATGGCTGTTGTGAAAAATTCAGTTGCTTTGATCAATCTTCTGTTGGAGAAGAACTTCGCTGTGTGGAGAGCTGGACCATTTCTTGTTCAGGGAAGACATATAAGTCTTCTTGAATTGAGTATTCAGCTTGGTCATGATGAAATTACAACTATCCTCAAAAGGTCCATAAATCATTGTGAGAAGATTCAGATGTTGAAAGCAATGAATTGCAACCAGTTAAAAGAGGTAATGTTTCAAACATACACGAGATATTTTAAAACCGAGTGGTACAAGCTATACTTGATAATTCGAAATATGTCTATCTGCAAGGGCGTAGGAACCGGGGGGGGGGGTTAGCGTCAGGGGCACGTGCGACCCCAAAATTTTTCAAGGGACAAAAAGTGCCCTTTTTATTAACCAAACCTGGAAGCTGGTACCCCCCCCCCCCAATCTCTGGATGCTTCTTACGCCTCCGTCTATCTGCTAAAATATCATGCATGGCGGACTTTCTGTGAAGCTATCTCGGAATAGGGTTTCCATGGTAACGATTTCGTATGAAAAATGCCTTAGTAACTGAGCTTTGACTATTTGCCTTCACTGATAACAATGCTCAAATCGTTTTTGCTCCTAACTTTTCACAATAGATAATTTGTACTTTTTCGTCCATAGACTGAAACACCGATGCAGGCTTTTGTCGCAAAGAATCGATTCAAAATTGGTGCTGGTGGTTTTTCTTGTGTCTATGTTGGTCTCATGAAGGATGGAAGTGAAGTTGCTGTTAAGAGAATTTTGGTACAAAGTGAGGATGAAACTGTTGAAAACGAAAAGGAAATCATGAGTCTCATTGAAACAAAGTCTCCATTTATAGTGAAATATCGACATTTTCACCGTGACGATACCTTCATGTATCTTATTGTTGATCTTTGCGAAGAAACCTTGAGGGAACTTGTTCATGCATGCAGTATTGGACATTTAAAAGAGCAAGGTCCACGAATGATTAAGGAAATTCTATCAGGACTAGAATTTCTTCATGGCAAAGGAATATTGCACAGAGATCTAAAACCATCAAACGTCCTGGTTGATATCGAAGGTCGCATGAAATTGGCAGATTTTGGAATAAGTCGCGTTGTTAATGAAGATGAAACAACAGTTGAAACAGATGCAAAAGGTACTCGTGGATGGATGCCACCGGAAGTAATTGAAGCAATAGTTAAAAAAGAAAAAAGTCGTTTTAAAAGGAAATCAGATGTCCAGGTGGCGGGTATGATTGCTTTTTTCATCTTAACCAAAGGTGAACACCCTTTTGGATCTGAATTAGATCGAATGAAAAATATTTTAGAAGATAATCCTGTCAATTTGGAGAAACTTGGTAATCGCACAGCTCTTAGGTTTGTGTCGTGGCTGATTAATCACAAGATTGATGATAGACCTTACGCTCACGAAACAATGAGAGATATCTTTTTTAGCAACAACATATGGAGCATAGCGAGCAATTAGACAACCAACCACGATTTGTTTGAAATGACGAATCCTTCCTAGTCCAAGTTTGTCCGTTTGTACAAGGTTTTGATTTGAAGAAGTTAAACAACTTCAGACTCCATTTGTACCCTAAGACAAACTGACATCCCAGCTTGGCTGTAACATATTGTACATAGATAATTCTGAGTGTAATATATCTTATTGTCTGAAAAACTGGACTGGCACCAATCAGAATTTTTCGTGAAGAAATTTGACCTACATGACTTTACTCTCCAAGCAGCATAAAGTAGGAATATAAATATTAGTTATGTATCTTGGTGTGGATACATTTTTTAACTAGTGCTAAATATTTTCGTTCAACTGTATTCAGGAAAATGTTTAAAAATGGCAATTAAAGAATTTTGAACCAAGCATTCAGTGCATGACAGAAATTATTGCATCACAACAATTTTTGTCAAAAATCATATTCCTGTCACAGTTGCTGTTGCTATTTAAGTTTTGCCAATATTGCAAGGGAGATGACCCTCTCGTTGTAACTACGACGGACGGTACCCTGCTAATTGTGAGGACAACTTGTGCCAATCCCGTTTGTAGCCGAAAAAACAACATATGGAGAAGGCAAGGTTTCGCTATTCTTGTATCTGGAGGATCACCCACTAAAGTGCTCAACATGTTTCGACACATGGGACTCGTTGGAATGTGCAATGAATCTTACTATAGACACCAAGGGGTATGTATATATATAACTGACTCAGGTCTTAGACCCCAGGGCAAATTGAGGTGTAACTTCCAGTATACCAGTTGTGATTTTTCTTTTAAGAAAATGTTGTTTCCGACAATCTTTCTTCACTGGGAAGATTACCGAAGAAATATTCTGGATCGATTACAAGCATTGGAATCTTTGGTTATTTCTGGTGATGCACGGCATGATAGCATGGAGCATAGTGCAAAATACGGTGCTTATGCAATATTTTGTTGTACGTCAGCTGAAATAATTGATTTTAGTTTGATCCAGGTAATATACCAATGAAAATAACTCAAGTTCTCGTTTTTGCTCATATAATTGATTCGAGTTTTTTATAGAGAAATGAAGTTGGAAGCAGCCCTGCAATGGAATTTGAATGGTTCCAAAGATGTTTGAACTTTCTCCTAGCTGAAGGCCTGGACATTTCCACCTTTGTGTCAGACAGACATCAAACAATAGCGAAACACATGAGGGAGAAACTACCAAAGATAGACATTATTTCGACATATGGCACTTGAAAAAGAGTAAGTATCTATTATTTGCAGCAGTTTTGTTTATAAATACACATCATAATAAGTACACTGCACTATTGTTTTACTCAACCTATGTATTTTTCACCTCAAGAGCTGCATAAGGTCTTGACTAAGCTGGCTATAAAGAGGCAGATTGTGAAGAACTGGCAGAATGGATACAACCCTGTATAAACAACCTTTACTGGAGTGCAGCATCTACTTACTCAGGAAATGGCAGGATACTGGCTAAGTTCAAGTCTTTCCTTGGTCATATTGTTAACAAACATGATGGGTTTGATGACCCATTTATGATAAATGTGTTCATGGTGAACTGACTCCAAGAAAGTGGATTCTACCTGGTATGCTTTGTAAAAATAGCTCTTCGCTAATACTGCCCAGATGTTATTAATTTGATACAATTTCTTTTCTTCACAATAAACTATAGATTCTCCAGCCTACACAAAACAAAGTGGTGCTATGCTAAAGAAGGCCTTTGTTAAGGCCTTAAACAAGCTTCACCATTGGACCAAACTAGTTGTTTGGAAGGTTTCCACTCTGTTATCAATCAGTTCTTCCCAAAAATGAATGCTTATTCATTTGCTGGTATATACTGCAGGTAGGTTTTACTCTATTAGTAATAAACTAACAGCAACTGATTTGGTTAGCTTATTATTTTGATTAAAATTTCTACATCATTTAGACACATCGTGGCAGCAATCCATTTTAATGCCAACTTATGTCGTAAGGCAAAACTCCATGAAGATGGTACACCACAGGTCAAGGTTTCTTATCCAAAGTTTAAAGGTGGCGATGCCACTCATAGGGAAAGCAAAGTAAAACAAAACTTTGGTAAGGAAGTTAAAAGAATGAATGGTGCAATGAGCATTAATGAACTATGACTGATGTGTGTTATCGTATTAATCAATAAATCTTTGTGATTAGAATATGTGGAAGAGATATATCAGACTTAATGTAATCGATGTCAATATACACTTATTCAAATTTGCATGCTCATTAGTCACACTTCATTACTTAATTGTGCTAGTGCACTACAATTATAATTATTATACAGGGTGTCCCAAAAAAAACGAAAACTATTGAAATCATCCATAACAATGCCATTGTTAGAGTTTGAATGCCTAAGCACTCTGTTGGGCCCACAAGTGTATAAATCGGGGTTGCCATAAGCATTTTTATGCATGCATATGATGCCGTCAAATTTGCTAGTTCGCAAAAATGATATTTATTAACAATATTTACAATTTACAAATATGGATAACATTATTTAAATGTGCATCTCAAGGACCATGTCCTTCGACATGTCCCCTTTCTCTAGCAACACAAAGCATTTAGCATTTTATAAGTTGCATTAAATCCCCACGGGCTGAAATTCGTGAACACAGCATTCAAATTTTAACAATGAGTGATTTCAATAGTTTTCGTTTTTTTTGGGACACCCTGTATATCCTAGGAACAATTAAGGCCGGCGCACACTAGAGCTATGTGCTTAGCAAAAAGTCATTCGTGGCAATTGGCGTAAGCCAGTTGTTCTCGTGTGCGGGCGACTTTTCGGGCGACTTTGGTCATTCGTGCCACTTACGGCAAATAACTAGCATGTTTGATAATTTCTGCCTCGCGTGCCGAAATCTTTCCGTGTGCGGCAAACTGAAAGCTATCTGCTTATGGATTGTCTTAGCAGCGCATGAGTATTATACGACATCCAAGATAGCGGTGCAAACAAAGCAAAACGAACAAGGGCGTAGGAAGCATCCAAAGGTTGGGGGGGCACCAGCTTCTAGGGGCACTTTTGGTTAATAAAAATGGCGGTTTAAATGGTTAATAAAAAATATATATAGGGACGGTTTGATTCAGAGACCGCCGACCGCAGAGCATTTTTCGTATTTCTTGGGCTTCGTACTGCTTGGGGGGTCCGGGGGCATGCTCCCCCGAGAAAATTTTGAGATATATAGGCCTCTGAAATGGCCGCAAATCCCTCTCAATTTAAGGATTATTGGGAAATAGTAGATACTTTTTTGTTTCTTTTCGCTTCCCAAAAAGGCTTTTTTTTTCACAAAAAGGGCACTTTTGGTCCCTTGAAAAATCTTGGGGGGGCACGTGCCCCCAGTACCCCCCCCTTCCTACGCCACTGAAAACGAATTGGTGGCTGAGGCCATATTGGGAGACAAACTGGTTTATTTTTGGCCAGAATACAGGTGTTTATACGATGTGAATTCTACAGATTTTAGAAAAAGAGAGAAACGGGAATGCGCTATATATTGCAGAAATAACTAGTAAGCTTTCTCAAACAGGTAATATAATTAATAGCACTTGGATAACGGTGTTTAAAGCGGACGTCTAGTCTAGTCCGACACAACAGCAACAAAAATAACAACACCTCTCCTTCTTCACTTCCATCCATAATTTTGTTTTTGCAATCTGTCCGCCATTTTGAATGTATACTTTCGTATATTACGCATGCGCTGTTAAGACAATCCATAAGCAGATAGCTTTCAGTTTGCCGCACACGGAAAGATTTTGGCACGCGAGGCAGAAATTATCAAACATGCTAGATATTTGCCGTAAGTGGCACGAATGACCAAAGACGCCTGAAAAGTCTCCCACACACGAGAGCAACTGGCTTACGCCAATTGCCACGAATGACTTTTTGCTAAGCACATAGCTTTAGTGTGCGCCGGCCTTTAACGTTTGTATAGCACCTTAACACCAAAGCGCCAAAATTAAATTTCTCCTCGCTCGGCTTATTATAAAACCGTGAAATGTCTGTTCATTCGACCATCCTGTGGATAACATAATATCCTTAATGTTACAGTTATTGGACGCTAAAAAGGATGTAGTTGCTGCTCGAACACTATGACCTTTAAATTTGCTAACATCTAAACCTACAGCTAGCAAAACAGACTTTATTCATCCAGATATAGTATCTTTGGAAACAGGTCCATACGGTTTCACATAACTCAGTAGCAATTGCTTTCTATCATGGCTATTTTCATCAGTTTTCTTGATATACTCTAAGAGATGAGTAACGACGCCAAGGTGAGGCTCAAATGGAGATTTTAAAAACTCGAGGGGTTTGACATCAGTTCCGACACGTGTCTGTTTGACTTTCTCCATGACGTGGAAAGTTCACTTGTCCGCAACGAGATTCATGTTATCGACAGTGAGAAGATGAATAGTTTGACAGCGTTGTCCACTGAGTAAGGTCAATAAAAAAGAAACTTCAACAATAAGGTCCTTGAATATCAGCGCGGAAGGTATTGGCTTTCGAAAAAACTATAAGACTTTGCTAACATCCCATGTTGTCTGGTAACGCGGTAGAGCCGGGCGCAGTTCAAATACACCTTCATAAAGTGCTAAACAATAGGTAGCTGTCCGAAAGTGACTTCACTATCACTTAACTGCAAAATAGAAGATAGAGAACACCTCGTCGAGTTCGTTGAGCGATAGGACAACCCCGAGTCAAACAGCGATAACAGAAAATCTAACGTCCGTGGTAAGGGAGGGCCTAACAGCGTGTTGGCCTAAAAAAGGCTCAATCCAGCATGTAGCTTGGTAGGCTTGGGGACCTTGAAATCGACTGGAAGTGGAAGGGTTTCCCCGGGAAACTGTATTGGCAAACTTGTTTGTAGCCTGAAGATCTATCTAAGGAGCTGTTTACATGAGCCCGGTTACCCGAGATTCAACGAAGCATGAGATGACTTTGAGGTATTGAAATAAGTCTTTATGACACCAAACAAGCACATGCTATTGTTGTGGTGATTATACGACTGCCAGGATCATGCTCATTTCAGTACCTCAAAATCATCTCACGCGTCGTTGAATCTCGGGTAACCGGGCTCATGTAAACAGCCCCTAACACAGAAACATGATTATCTTTATTATGTTAAGAACCTGATCATTTATTACAAGAGCAAAGAGAGTTTTCACTATATTATATCATAGGAAATAGGATTCATGCGCTTTTAAATGTCATTAAAAGCTTGATTGTCCACGTTGGCAAAGGTCAAAAA